AAAAAATCAAGCAACGCTAAGTTGTGTGCCGGTTGGTGCAAATGCCGATGGCCAAACAACTAGCCTCCAGTTAAAAATCAAGCAACGCTAAGTTGTGTGCCGGCTGGTGCAAATGCCGATGGCCAAGTAACTAGCTAACCCTTCTTTAATCATCTACCCTGTTCCTACCCTAGTGCCTCGTCCTCAACCCTTGCTATCGTGTCCCCAGGCTATTGAGCAAAAGCTTAGGCCTAAATACAAAATTTACTATTACGCTGTCTTCGACGTAACAATACCTATCAAATCACACTAGTAGAGTATAGTGGTCTATGTCACGCTTAAAGAAACTAAAAAATTTTAACAACTTAAACGTAGTGATTTTTGATTTTAATTTAATAACACTTAAGTAATAATAATAACCGTTATTTTAATGTGAATTATTTCTTCTCAATAAAGTGTCAGTGTGATTTCCAGCAAGTTTCATGTAATGACCGTGGATTCATGCGAGAGCAATTAGCTCGAAGCGAAATACGAGTTGAATGTCGTGCTATAAAAGTAGTTATGCCATTTTAATCCTAGTGACTATAATCCATCACCTAAGAACTGTTTTAATTCACTGAAAAATGCCTAAATTTGATTGCATAGAGATTTAATACAATGCATTAAGACTTCCCTCGTAACTCTAACATGGTAGTAGTATACTGTTACTTTTTAAGCAAGAGTTTTTTTTTACATTCCAAATAAAATTTTGTAGAAACTTATTAATGAGAAAATCTTAAATCTTCCAGAATTAAAATACAAATAGTTAATTCTTTAAATCGAGTTCAGATAAATGTATTAAACAGTCATTAGTGGAAAAAGTATTTCTCACAGGAGCTTATAAATATAAGTATTTCTCACAGGAGCTTATAAATATATACAGATTGAAGTTCCAATATTTTTTCTAGAAATTTTCGAGATTAATTTGAATACTGGAAACTCGATATTCTTATTTATTCTTAAATAAGGATATATTTTTATTACTAGATACTTGAGAACCTCAAGTGAGTTCTTTACTTTACAATTTCGAACAATAATTTGGTTTCGCCAAACCCACGTCCATTCGTCCATTTAACTAATTTACTAATATTTCTATGGTTTTGATTTTTCTTAAAAAAATTCATACCTCAGATGAAAAATAGATAATTTTAAAGGGAACTTGAATGTAAAATTTGCTAAAAAAACACGTATTATTATAAAAATAGTTGTAGTAACAATACTGTAAGGGTAGAATATATACATATCNGGATCGTGGGTTCATATCTTGTCGAAAGTTCTCGAGATGTTATTTTTGGATTTTTTTTTGATGAGATGAGTACCCAGGATGCTGAAAAACCACTCATCCGATTTTATAACTAATTGCCGATTTTTCTGGTGCTGCCTGTACCTCAAGGGACTTCCTCTTCGCAGAGAAGCCAGCACCTGGCCAGCTCAACGGGTAAAGTCACTCTCGGCTGGAAAAGGTTTAGATGGTTTATTGGAAAATAACTTTCCATTAAGATCGCGTTGCGTCAGTTTTGGGATGAAAATAAAATATATGTGTAAAGTTTCAACTGTCTTTATTATACAGTGATCGTTTTAACAGAAAATTAGAATTTAAGTGATAACCATCTGCAGGATAAAGATTATGATAGTCGATTTCGGTGAATAGTCCACCGCTACTCGAATTGAGTCTATCCACGATCATCGTGTTGCCTTGATAATAAGTCTTTAAATCAAAGGAGATTGGATCACCAATCAGTTGACCTGAAAGTAATCGAGGAATCATAAAAATGCAGTTTATTATTTATCAGGTATCTTTGATCTATACATATTATCTTCCNAACCACTCATCCGATTTTATAACTAATTGCCGATTTTTCTGGTGCTGCCTGTACCTCAAGGGACTTCCTCTTCGCAGAGAAGCCAGCACCTGGCCAGCTCAACGGGTAAAGTCACTCTCGGCTGGAAAAGGTTTAGATGGTTTATTGGAAAATAACTTTCCATTAAGATCGCGTTGCGTCAGTTTTGGGATGAAAATAAAATATATGTGTAAAGTTTCAACTGTCTTTATTATACAGTGATCGTTTTAACAGAAAATTAGAATTTACTAAAAGGTTTTAATCTTTATTTAATGCTATATGTTTAAGCACGAACAAAAATTTCTTCTACGTATGGATTTATTAAATAATTTTTTGAATAGTAAAACTATTAGAAATATCGTAACAGATATCTTATTACTTACTGAACTTGAAAATTCGTATTATTTTTTTGTGGTATAAAATTAAACTATATTATGATCTCTTACTAAAAAAATAGTAATTCATAAATAAAAATTCATCTTTTATAATCATATTATATTAAAATAATACTCTCATGAAATGATAATTAATTAACATAAGAACTAATGCATGTCCTACAAAAATAAAATTACCTTTACTTTTACGTTGCAGTGTAAAAATGCGGTTCAGGCTAGTGACAGTGGCGATTCTGTTCGCCGTCGCGAGCAGAGGATATGGAAGGCCAGGAGATCCTGGTAAGACACATGTTGTAATTTGTTAAGTAATTGTAGCAATTGTAACTTAATTTTATACATTTAACATGTTGAATTATATCATGACTTCTTGATAGCAAAAATTAGTCAATTTTGAGTTTTAATTTTCTGCCAAATTTAATTTTAATACAAAGTCACAGTGTTATTAATTAAATTACACTTTTTCGGTGATGCATTTTAAGAAATAACATACAAAACCACTAATATATTCGTATCAATACCATATATTTCTATTAAAATGGTATAACGTTACGATAACTCCAAAGTATGTACAGAATCGCAATGAAATATTTTGAAAATTACTCAACAGGAAATTTCTTGATTAGAAGCGTTAATAAGGTTTCCAGAGGAAATTTCATGACACAGATAAAATCAATTAAAAATTTTTTATGACATTCTAGAATCAAAAGTCGAAATCTGGTAAAAAAAAAACCGAATGATTGTATGTATAAATAAAAAAATTGTTTACTGTATCAGAAAATTTTTAATCGTGGTTTTTAAATGACTTCTAACATAAATACGCTCAATTTTTTAACTTACGCTTAATTCACGTGCTTTGTGTTAAATGTTTTATAGAATGAAGAACCTAATTTTTTGTGTATGAAAATTAAATAAATTAAAAAAATATTTATTAGTCGATATTACTCGAAAGAAAAAAAATGTTTTGATTAGCAAGAAACTCCGGTTTTTAACCAGATACGGAAACTTATTATTTGGCATTGATATTGTAGTACTTCAGAAATAACTAAGTTTTGATAATTCAGTAACTTAAAAGTTCCGTTTACCAAAAATAAGTTCTGAGTGACATAATACTTTAATATTACCGTTATACGACTGAAAAATCTGATTATTCTGTTCTATGATTTTACAGATCCATTGGACAACCCACAGGAAGTCACGGCAGCAACACTTGGAGCAGCTTATACGGATGGGAGTCCCGATAGCAGGTACATGATGACAATGACGAGGCAGACAGCTTCAATATCACTTACTCCCGATAGAAAACGCGATATCAGTATTAATAGTCATAAGTACGGTAGTAGTAGCAATAAGTCAGGTAAGGTGGGACGTTCTACGTTTCCAGGCTTGAGCTTTGAAGATAAAAAAAAAAATTATCTTCCTCTCGGTGCTTTGTCTTTTGTTAATCCTCGAAATGACATTGGTAGAGGACCTGTGAATCATAATCGTCAGTGGGTTGCTAGGCGATTTGGCAACTACAACCCACTAACGATTCCTTACATTCCATTTCATCCTTCGATCCCTGTATCAATTATTTCATCCACTACACCAAAAACTGCAATTTTAGACAGAAGTTTGACTAAACAAAAAGATATTGTATCTGTACAACGATCCAAATCCAAACAAATCCCAGTTTATATAACCCAAAATCCTGATGATTCTAACAAATTATATCGAGGACAACGAAAAATTGAATCAAGGACTCTCGTAAGGATTATACCGCAAAGCATCAGGCCTGGATACAGTACTCGTAGAAACTCAACAAATTTTAAGGTAAAACCACAATCATCCAGCGCGGAATTTAAAAACTGGCCAAATGAAGCTATGAAAAATGTTCAAGATCTCTTCAACTACGAAAAGTACACTACTTTTTCTGTTGAGGAAAAAGATAATAATAAAATGACTACAGGCACGTTAAAGACATCAAATCGGGAGCCATTAATCAAAAGCCCTGAGATGCTACCATCGGTGCACTGGTCGAAAATTCCAGTTGTTGAAGTTACAACTGTACCAAATGATCTTATCGATGTTGACACAACAATGAAAATTGACAACCTTTTAGACGATTTAGGAACTAATAAACTCAACTCACAATTTCAAACTTCCTCGGAAGTTGTACAAAATACAGTTTTTCATATTTTGAATGCGGGTTCTCGTAAGCCCAATGTAACCGTCATCAAACCAACAAACACAAACAAAATCAATCGAATAAAGACGGCTGGTACTAGACCTCCACAAAATGTTCATATTATGTTTACGATGGATAAAGGTGATTCTCCAAATAATACAGCAGAGAAAAATCCAACGCCAGAAATTTTGGGAGTTGATTCAGATTGCCCCACGATTTTGATAAATTCCATTACACAAATTAACAACACAATCGAAAGTAAGGAAGGTTGTACGGATTTGAATATCGTTATTAATTCACATCTTTTGAATACACACGTGTTTAAACCATCTGCGAGTATTTCGGACTCTTTTTCAAGTACTACGGAAGCATCAAAAACTTCTTATGTCGATAGTCCGGATATCCCAAACGAACTCGCCAATCATGAGAATCATAATCATCATCAGCATAATCATAATGTGCATGAGAATCTGCACGGCCAACTACAATTAGATGGATCTGGAATTGGTCAATCTATACAACAAGTACCTGAAATTTCTATGTTCGAAGTTATTCAAGGTACTCATATTAACATGGGCGAGGGAGGTAGTGTTTCTACTAATGTTGTGAACGAAATAGACAGTCAGGATTCTGGACCAGATTACTCTGCAAACACGAATATGAATGGAACATCTTTGCTCGGATCAAACGAAGAAGGCAATGGCATTAATGGTACAAACGCGGAAGAGGCTACTAGTGACAATGGCGTAGACTCCACTGACTCAACGACTTTAAGTCCTGCTGCTGAAGAAGTTCTATCATCAGGGCCAGCGGCTGCACCTGGTGAAGTTGGAAGTGGCCAGGCAAACGAAGTACCGGCATCGATTTCATTGCCGAGTTTGCCCAATATTCCTAATTTACCAAATATTCCGAGTCCATTATCAAATTTACCAGCTAATACAGGTCCTGGAGGATCTGGAGGACTAGGACAGACAGGTTTAATATCTACTCTTAATGATGATGAGGACGACGACGATGACGAGTTGGTGGAAGCTTTGTCACCAGTAGGGTTATTAGATTCCATAACTTCGGTATTTAACTATGTAAGTGACCTCAATCCAATTAATTACGGAATATTCGGCATGGCTGTAGCACCGTTTATTGCTTTTGCCGCGGGAATAGTGGGAGTGGCTGCCTTTATATTTCCATTTGCGTTTCCAGGCTCGTTAGAATTGGGGAGAAATTGGCATGAAAATAATTATAAAATGAAACATAAATACCATCCAAGTTTACACGATGTCGTTCATAGTTCTATACACAAGTACAGACATCTTAATGAGTGGAAAGGTAGACGAAGAAAGAAGAAGCGAAAAAGATAGTTGTGTAATAAATGATTTGAAAAATTCGCACTTTTTGTTATGCCCTTGATCTTACGATTTTTTGTAACTTCCGTGGATCAACGAGCAATCTGTAAAATAGCATTGTCCTAAGATTTTCATTTTAATTAAACTTTAAAAGCCATGAAGGAATCGATATTATCGGGGTTTATTTGACAATAATTATTTAACGTTTAATCACGGAAGTTGTTAATTACGCATGTTGTTAAAACAGTATAAAATCATTATTGACTCTTGAAGATACAAAGTTGATTTTTGTCCCTTTCTCATTCCAAACTTAACGGGGTACTTCAAAATGTGCTTGTATTTTTCAAATCAATCCAACCAACAGGATAGTCTAAGTGATATTTAACACATGTAAATCGGTTAATCATTTGAATATAGCATTAAGCATTAGATATAATTAATTACCACTACATAGGAACTGAATATTGTTAAGTGGACAAATTTTTGTAAGTTTTGTATTAAAGTAGTGATAAATTTACAGCGTATTAATATCATACGATCAGATAAGTGGACGAAAAATTTTTAGCATCGCCTCGATTTTTTGAATTAATAATAAAATCTTACGTTCTTATTTTATTACAAATTCAGTTAAAAATAATGAACCTCTGTTAATATTTATTATATCAATAGATTTAGGTTTTGTTTAGAGTATTCGATTAATTTTGGTTTAATGGCGATGCTGTTTAAGTTTTATACATTGCTTAGCGTTATTAATTTCAAATGCATATTATTTTTGTTCTCATTATTCTTGCACTATAATTATTTATTTAGGCAAAAAGTAATTTTAGATAAATCGGAGAAATCTGCATGTGTTTGATTATTTACTAATGCGTCTGGTAATAATGTGTACGAATAAAGTTAAAAACTGGACTATTTATTTCGCAATTTAATTATAATAAATAATCATAGGAGCCTGAAATTAAAAAGAACGTTTTAATTGTTATAAATTGTTGAAGCACGCAACATCATACGTTTCAAATTTATTCTTTGTTTTAATCACCTTTGAAAAAACCAATTTCAAATTGTATTACACTATTTGGTAAATGATTTAAAATAATGTATATTGAAAAAAAAAAAATTTAGGAGTGAACAAAAAGCAATTGACACATTTAACGTATTATTTGGAAAACCTGAAAAACAGCATTGTACATTTGTGTTGTTGTTAATTTTAAGGAACACTGCAAGAATCTTGTGTTAATAATATTGTCATATAAATTATATATTATTTCCTACCCATAGAGTTTTATTAATAGTTAAATTTTTATAACTAACAAAGATTTTAATTGTTACAAGAGAAAAATAAAAATTACCGTTTTTACAATGCTCTCCCATCTGCATGTTATTTACTTACATAATAATCTTACAGAATTAATTTACTTTTAGGTAAGTATGAATTGCCAATTACGGACTCATAATTATTAAAATAGGGTTAATTATTAAAAACTGAGTAATTAAATTTATCAAAACACTTAACTTGTTAATCATATCTTTAAATATTCATGAACTGACTGAGTGGAAATAGTTCTTCATGTAAGTATGTCACACTTCCAGTACAGAAGTGAAAACATTTTCTCAATTTATTAAATTTTTTTTTAATA